TCAATTCAGTTGCTTGGGAGGAAGCCAGCTGGCACCATGAAGACACTGAAGCAGCCTGCAGAGGGTCCACATGGCAGGCCAGGAACTGAGCCCCGCCTGGAGCCACAAGAGTGAACTTGGATGAGGATCCCGCCTCAGTGGATCCTGGAGATGACTGCAACCTCCCAGAAACGCTAAGTCGGAACCACCAGTTAAGCCACACCCACAGTCCTGACTCACAGAAATGGGGAGATGAGTTTTTGCGGGTATAAGCTTCTAAGTTTGGAGTAGTGTGTTTGCAGCAGTAGTTACAGACAAACGGTGACTTCTATCTAAACGGTAGATGGTTTGGGAACTAGGCAGCAGGTGGCTACTGGGACTTTAAAGGGGCATCAGTGAAAGACTAAACTGCATCGAATGACTTAGTAAAATTTTAGATTTTGAGGGAATGTGAGAGGCATCTTACTAAAACTGGAAAAAGGGAGATCCTTGCTACGTAGTGCAGAAAATTTAGCAACACTGTCATGTTCAGGAACATGGAAAGCAGACAACGTGTCTAATGAACTAGGTGATCTGGTTAAGATTTTCAAGCAAAATGTCCAAGGGAACATTCCTACGAGGGAAGATAGAGAAATTAAAGGAGGACTATAATAAAAAGGAGCCAGGACTTGATGGGTTTGAAAGTTCTTAGCTTCAAAATAGCTAATTTTAGTTTTGCTTTTCCTTTTTTTCTTGGTTTGTTTGGCCAATGATTCATATATGTTGCTGATATTAAAAAACAAACAACAACAACAACAAAAATCTGTTTTTCCATTCGAATTCGTTAGGCTCTGCCTGCAACTTTATTAAGTCCTTCCTTTTTATTTCTTTAGTCTTGGTTTGCTGTTTTCTACCTTTGATACCATAATTCTATTTTTCTTCTGATAATTGCTTGAGCTCTCTCCTATAGATACCTAAATGTCATGGTTTTATCATCGTTATTTTCATGAAATTCTGCAGTTCTAATCTGTTTCTCTTGTGTCCCACAGGCAATTTATAGCAAGATTTTGAATTCTAAAGCAGAAAGGTATTTTTTGTTTTTTGACTTTGTTATTAATGTCTAGTTTTATTGCAGTATCATTTAATATTGCTCTTTGTGCTATTTCTACTTTACTGAATTAAATGGAGTTTTCTTTGTGGCCTATGATATGGTTTGTTTTTATGAATATTCCAAGTATCCTTGAGATTAAGATATACTCTCAGGATTCAGAGCTTACTATATATAATTTCTCTTTAATATCCTTACTACCTTCTTTTCATTGCCTCAATGGATCTTTTCTGGTCGAGAGAGGCATTCTGGAGTATCTCCTGTTATTAGTGTGTTCTGTTTATTTCTTCTCACAGCTCCTACAGCTCTTGCTTTATGAAAGTTGATGTTTTGGGGGATATTAAATATTAATAACATATCTTCACTATGCACTGTAACCCTTAATATTGTAACATGTCCTTCTCTGTTTTCTTCAATGCCTTTTGGCCTAAATTTGATTTTTTTAAGCTATCAGCACTGTGATCTCTTCCTTCTCTTACTGTGCATTTGCGCAGGACAGCTTTGCCCATTTTTAAATCTTTCTCTAAGCTCTCTTCCAGCTTAGAGTTGGATTTTGCATTGTTGGGGGCGTATATCTTTTGGTATTTTAAAAAGATTGGTGTGGGCCTGCCGAGTGGCACGTTGGTTAAGAGCAGGCTTGGGACGCCAGACGGCCCCGGTTTGGATCCCACATATGAGGGCCAGTGACACTGCCCTCTACAGCTAAGATGCTGAACAGCAACCTGGAGCTGGGCTGCCGTGAGTCTCTGGCGATGGCGTAGGCTGCAGCCCCTGCTGCAGTGAGTTGCCATGGGCTACTGTGTGTAGCCAGCAGCCAGCGTGAGCGGCCAGCAGCCAGCGTGAGCGGCCAGCAGCTGCTGTGAGCGGCCGTCCAGAAGCTGGAAACTGATCTGCCTCGCCCGGGAAGAGCGCAATGATGGTGCCAACTTGGGCCAGTGAAGCAACATGCTCCACAACTAGACTGAAGAACAAAAAGACAGCAACTTGTCTGTTCCCCTTCCCCCAATTCCCCAGCGCTGTTCCCATCCCCCAATTCCCCAATACAAATCTTAAAAAAAAAAAAAAGATTGGTGTTCGCTCAAGAGTGCGAGCTCAGAGCAACAGTGGTTTGATGCCTGGCCTGAGCTGAGCTGCTGCTGAGCTGCCAACAGGCGGCAGGATGGCTCAGCTAAAAAAAAAAAAAAAAATTAAAAAGGGCCGGCCGAGTAGCACGTTGGTTAGGAATTGGCTTGGGACACCAGCTCTGAGCAGCAGGGCTCCGGTTCGGATCCCACATGGGGGCCAGTGACACTGTACCCCCTACAGCTAAGATGGTGAACAATAGCTCAACCTGGAGCTGGGCTGCTGTGATTTGCCTCAACAGCATAGGCTGCAGTGGGGCTGGCCGGCAGCTGGCGTGAGCTTCTGTGATCTGCCGTAAGCCGCACGCCAGGAAGAGTGCAATGATAATACCAACATGGACCAGTGAAGTGATGTCCTCCACAACTAGACTGAAGAACAAAAGAACAGCAACTTGTCTGTTCCCCTTCCCCGATTCCCCAATGCTGTTCCCCTTCCCCCATTCCCCAATAAAATCTTAAAAAAAAGAAAGACTGGTGTTTTTGTTTCAATTATTTCCTCCAGACTGCCTTTTCCCCATAACCTGTGTCCCTGGCCCCTCTGTGCATACTATTTGTTTACTAACAGAACCAGTATTGAAATTAGGCAGTACCTTCAACTTTCCCCCTTTCAGCCCAGGATAATACTTTGAAGTATATTCTTTTTATTCTCAGTTAATAACTATAAGGCAATCAATAACCTATTCTGCTTACCATGTACTCTTCGGCTTTTCCTGACATTTTTTATAGTTGTCATGTTCCAAATCATAGCATGCTACCCACCATATGATCATCATTTAGTCTTAGTTTTACAAGTAAGTGTGTATGTGTTTGTATGTATGTGTGTGTGTATAGATCACTCTTGTTTTCTCACCCAGTCATTTTGGTTTTCTGAACTCGTTCTCTAGATTCTATAAGAAAGCTCATGATAACAATATTTCCTGAGTTCTATCATAGACACTTTTCTGAAGACTTTCTATTTGAAGGTCAGTCTTCAGCTGGATATAAACTCTTTGGCTCAAATTATCTTCTGGGATAAAATGTTGATATCAAAATTTGTTATACAAATCTGGTTTTCTTTTCTTAATAAGGGACTTGACTGTTTTTCCTAGATGACCAAATGATTTTTCTCCTCAAATTCTACTTATTCTGTTTGATCATAGTTTGCATTGCTTTTTTATAATTATTTTGAAATATTTAGTTAAGTTTTTCATGTTTTGTGCATTCTTTTCTGGAAGATTATTCTCTTTTTTTATAATAACAACTTAAATGGAATGTGATCATGGTCCTATCCTGTTGCTCAATGTAAAAGGAGGAATGGGCCAGAAAGCTCTCCTAGCTTCACTTTTCTAGGGTTATTTCTTCTGTTGTTGGTATGAAGTATTTAAAAATAAGGTTGTGTATCTTCTGAGATATGGCACTCCTGCTCCCTTCCGCCATTTCTTATCTGACCATTTCTCTCCTTGGCCCTGGTGTGCGTGTCCTCTCAGTTCAGATTCTGCTCCCAGTAGTCATGTCCTCAGTGTGGGACTGTCCTTGGAAAGAGATTCAGTTGATGGATATGAGGAGTTCACGAGGCTCAGACTGTTCCAGCACCATCCACCTACACGTGGTCAGCGTATCCTCATGTGTGAACTTGCACTAGGAAAGCCTGAGTTTCCATTGCTGTTCTGTCTGGCCCACAGGCTTCCCATGTTCACTGAGCACTCTGCCATTAGAGATGAACACCTGTTGCAATTTGTTTTCTGGGACTTCCTTTACTTTCCCTCTGCTTCACTGTGCAGTTGTTGTCTGTGGTTTGGTCTTACCCATTTATATTTTTGACATTTGTGGGGATAACTTACTTCATTATTTTGTAGATGCTGTGAGTTTTTGGTTTTGCTATCCTGATTGCTCTGTTGTTACAGGGGGAACTCAGGGAATTTCAAAAACTACTCTACCACTGCTGCCAACTTTCCCTGGTCCTGTCAGCATAGGCCCCCTCTTTTTCTCCACCCTAATCCACATTATCCATCTAGCATCCTACTGTTTTTTTATAGAATTTGTTTATTGTTTCTTTCCTTCCCTTTATAATGTAATCTCTGTAAGAGCAGAGACCACTTCACTCATTATTATCACCCCCTGCATACAATAAAGACTTCCACAGCAAGCACATGTGAATGAATGAATGAACGAACGAATGGACGCAAAATGCCAATGCATTTGATCTGTATCTGCAGAGTGAAACTTTCTTTCCTGCAGCTTCGACATCCTACAAACTTCCATCAATTAAAAAGATTTACTTTGGGGTCGGCCGTGTGGTGCGTTGGTTAAGAGCTGGCTTGGGATGCCAGAGGGCCCCAGTTCGGATC